CTGTCCACTGCGATGTTGAGGGGCTTCCTTGCTTCAGAGGTCTGGAAGGGTGTCACGTCGGAAGGAATAGCTGCCTCTTCATGAGGTTGGCAATCGCTGTGAGCTCGTGCGACGGGAAGGGGCTAAAAGATGGAGGAGCCCGACTCTTCCCGCGTAGCCCTGTCCAGTTAATACCTGCTGGTTGAAGATGCAGCCACGGCTCCAAATCTGAGTGTGGTATCTCATCACCGCAGTGCTTGGACCAGAATATTTTGCAAAGTATATATGTGTATGTATTTTTATGTTATATTTATATTTATATTATATATGCATATAAATACATATGCCATATAGATTTTATATAGTTACATATTTACATTTTTGCATATATGTATGCAAAGATATATATGCAAAATACATATGTATGCAAAATCTATATGCAAAATACATATACATGCAAAATAAAAGCAGCTATTCGTATTCTATCTTGCTTCTACAATTGGCTCGTTTAGTTATAAGCATCAGTTCTGCTGTTATTTTTGTCACTGGGATGCAGTTCATTTCCTGGCTAAGAATCCTGCAGAACGACCTAACCTAATTAATTTTACCTCTTCTCTCTCTAGTTTTGTACGTCACCTCTTCAAGGTGGTGGTTGGGCTTTATTTAACTGCGCTTGCTATTGCATTTTCTTGTCTTTTGGAGAGAAAATGTGTTCCTGTTCCACCACTGAAAGAGCTTACGTTCTCCTCCAGAGGTTCATTTCTAACCGAGAGGGCAAGAGCTCAGGCAGATTTCACCGGGAGGGCGTCCGACCAGGAGAGCATCAGCAGTAACTACAGCTTTACAAGGATTCACTATTTTGGGGATTGTTGCAGTAGAAAGGATGGTATGGGTCTGTTCTCGGTGGAGGTTCAGCTTGCTTTGCATTTTGCGATTAAGTCCATGCAGGTTGGAGACAGAATTGCAGACGCGGGCCATGGGCCAGAGCTCAGTGATGAGATGGACGTAAGATGGAAAGCTGAAACGTGTGTAGGAAGGTGGAGAGAAAGGGAAGGAGTACACTCAGTGCTATAAATTTGATTTCTGATTTTTTCCTGCCACTGGGCCTTTCGGCAGATAGGCGACTTTAATATTATCGTTGAATGTGGACATTTACAGTGGCCTTGATGTTTGCTCTTACCATCAGGGCACTGAATCTCCAGGAGAGAGCATTTTGGAGATTTTTGTGCTGGTGAAAGGGCAATGACTGGGTAAGGCCAACGCGAGGAGAGGAGCGAAAAAAGGAGGAGGGAAGGGACCAGAAATTCTTCTAACTTGCAAAAAAAAAAGGTTGAGAGAGTTGGAGGTTGGTGGTTACCATGTGTCGATCCTCTTAGCTTGGCTGCTCTCGGAGAAGAGCGATTGAAACCCAAGGCTCCGGCAGGTCTCCACCGAATCAATAGTCCCGGGGCCTTTGAAATAGAAGATGTTGCTTCTAAGTGAGTGAAAGCTGATCTTGCGAGCTGTGCAGCAAGGATGGCTCCTTTGCAAACTGCCTGCCTCGGAAAACTGCACACTTCTCCCTTTTCTGAAGCATTTAGGAGATTTTTGTGGTGGGTTTCTTTGGGAGGCTGAGCTTCCTGCCCAACGTAACCCCCCTCCTTCTGAGCCGAGGGTCAAAATCCTTGTGGCTTCTGTGGCTCCCTGTGCTATTTTTCTCATTATAATTGGAGAACTGGGTGTTCTCAGCAGCCCATTCTCATCTTCTCAACGTTAATCCTTTTGGTTTTTTTAAATAAAAAGTCTAGGTGACCCCTGGATATTTTGTTTTTCTACTTTCGAAATGAGATTGGGATTAGACGTGGGGTTTTTTCTATTAACTGTCATGAGCTTAATACTATAAATCACTGCTTGTAAGAATAATGGAAATGACCTGGAGCTCCCCAGCTTTACATTATAAAAATAGTCCTCACAGTTACCACATTTGGCAGAAACACCAAAGCCAGGGAAGGACTCGGGCATGTTGAAGAAGGAGCAGAAGTTTGCAGGATTCATCTTCCAGGTGGACAACCAGGTGATCCAAAACGTAAGCCTTAGATTTTGTACCTCGGCAGCTTGTTTTGGTGCATCGCAGGTTTAATGCAGATTAATCCCCTCGCGCTCTCAAACTCTCGCAAATCCTCGGCGTTACGAAGCACGACAGGAGCGGGAATGGAAAATGGATCTAAATTCTCCTGTGGCATTAGGTCAAAGTCTTGCATTAGCTAATTGTAGCCACCTGATTGTTCTATATTTAAACATTTGTGGCAGCGATAACATTATCAAACACCAAATAAAACCACTGCCTTCTGCTTTCTCATAGTAATTTCCTTTCCTGTACTTACTTTGAAGCTGTGCAAGTACGTATAGGAAGGCAAGTTACTTCCCCAGACTCTCCATCACGTGCCCAGGCATCCCTGAAAAAACAGTAATTAATAAAAGAAATAGCCTTTTTAATGAAAGACACAAAACTTAGGTAGTCAGAATCCATAAATGATGGATTTTTCCATAAATGAAAAATTAAAATGATAATACCGGAAGGGGACACATTTTGATTTATTCATACTATGCTTTATTATAAAATACTGGAATTTATTCTTCTGAGCCTCCACCAGGTTGTTGTGTTTATATTTAAACTGATGTCTAGTACAGATTAACATTAGGAAAATAGGAATTTATGTTTCAAGTAAGTTTAGAGTGCTAAATACCTTTTTTTTTTCTTTTTTTTTTTTAATGTTTCATGTCCAAATTAACCGAGAAGTGTTAAAATTTGCTACTGGAGCTACTTTCTTGGTTCCACTGTTCATTATTATTTGTCTGTGGACAGCCTAACCTGAAAAAATACCGGCTGAAAGAAAACAAATCTGATCTGTAATATCTAATAGGGATTTGCACAGACTTTTGTTTGAAATAATTTGTGTGGCAGCTGATTGCCCTTGTCCATCACCAGATGGACAGGTCTGATGGGAAACCACGCAATCTGGATTGCCACCAGAAGCAAGAGGGCTAAGTTCTCTAGAAGTATACGCTTAGTCATACTAAACCTTAATGGATTTTTTTTAGCAAGTTTTAGTAAATTCTGCTCAGCCCAGATTTTACCCTAAATTTCATCATGTCTTCATTCCCTGTGTGTCACCTCACTTCTCTCCCTGCTCCCCTGAAACAGCCTGGTTCAATTTAGATTGGATAATATCAAATAATTTACTTCAAACAGTTGAACTATAGAAGTCCATATGTCATCTATTCAAAATGAAGCAAAAAAAAAAAAAAAACAAACCCTAACCCCAAACCAAAAATGTTTTTATCGCTTTCAGTCTGCCATAAATGCAGAGCTGCTTTGAGCTGCGGTCAAACCACGTAGCGAAGGCAGCGCCGTGTAGCGTCAGTTCAATAAATAACTGGGCAGCTCTACTGCATAGACGAGGAAAAATGTTTTTCTTTATTTTATGTGGATTGTTTAGGTCTTTGTACCCTGTCTCCCTGAAGATTAAATGGTGAACACAGGCTTCATGCAAAGCTAATAATTAGGAGTCTCAGTGTGAAATGCAGAATAGTGCCTTTGGAAAAAGAAAAGTTTCATGTGGGCTTGGAAACGCTTGCGGCTGTGGGGAAAAGAAGAAGCCACAAATCTGGGGACTGAAACCCCAAGTGCTTTTAAAACAGATAGAGAAATACACGCATACATATATACATATTGAAGAACTTACGATGAAAACTTTGGCCATAGACAGGTGGACTCTCATTTATTAGGGTTCATTTCTGTGAATCATTTGTGGTGGCGTTGGAAATCTCTTTGCCAGCCGAGAATCAGCCTTCTGGGTTTGATTTCCTGAAGCTATATGTGTCTTTGTGGACATCTGAGTACCAGTTTGATTTCTGACAAAGGCGGGATGCTGAGGATACCATCCCTCCTTGCATTTTCCCTGCGACCTGAACCATTAGGTGAACAAAGCAAATGGGGAGGAAACTGTTCGAGGTTATGGTAAGCAGCCTGGGAAAAGTGTGGAAGGTGCCGTGGCTCTTATCAGCCCGCATTTCTGTTACCAAGAAAACATAAAAGCAGATATTATATTAAATAAACTGCGATTGCGTGAATGTTGACTCCTAGCCGAAAAGGCAAACTGGGTTTCTGATGGGGCTTGATGACAGACAAGCTGCTCGTCTGCTGGCTGAAGCCAAATTCCTACAAGAAAACCAAAATAGAAGTCGCCAAATGGCACCTCTTACTATAAAGGGGGAAAAGCATTTAACTGGCAATATTATTGTGAGCAGCTGCTGGAGGAATTTAGCAAACTAAGAGGCCTGGTAGGTCAATGACGAGGTTCCTTTCTCGTTTGGTGGTGACTAAGAGGGGATGGCCAAGATGGAAAGGCTGGCTGCGTTCCAGCTGTCTTTGGGATGGGTAGCGGTCCCTCAGAGCGGGCTGGGGACGGCTCAGGGTTCAGAAGTTACCAGGGTAACGCCGGCGAGCAAGCAAACAACTCCCTTCAACCTCATCTCGGGAAATCAGGCTAAAAATAGGTTGCTGAGGCTTAAGGTTAAAAGTAAAGACGTGACCAAGCAGTGCCGTTGAAAAGCCAGCTCCGCTCATCCTCTGCAAACATCCAAGGACTGCATTTCCCTGCCAGAGCCGGTGCATTTGTTACTAGCTCTAGAAAAAGGCTTTGCGAAAGTTGTGCCTTAGGTAGCAACATCTTCTGACCCGAGAGTAACGCTGACGGGTGGGTTTTCCCCAAAACACATGGAGTTTTAGAAATGGCTTTTCAATTTAGCAATAGGCCAGGTATTTAGAAATCTGGTTCGTACCGAAGTGAGGCTGATGACTGAAGAGGTGAGAGGAATTATTTGAAGGTAGGGTGGTGGGAATATTTGAAGGTCGGGTGGTGGGAATATTTGAAGGTCGGGTGGTGGGATTAGTGGGTCCACGTGCTGTTGGACTGGCACAGCTGGGTCGGGGGAACGCGCCCTGCTTCTAACCAGTGCGTTTGCCTGCTCTACCCAAGGTCCAGTTGAAAAGTGAAGAATCGAAAACGTTTGCCATGAAAATACTGAAGAAACGTCACATAGTGGACACGAGGCAGCAGGAGCACATCCGCTCGGAGAAGCAGATCATGCAGAGCGCCCACTCGGACTTCATCGTGAGGTACCGTCCCTCCGCCTTACACACTGCCGTGGGGGATCAAAGCACAGCCGGCATTTCATAAAACCACACAGGAACAACCCATCCATCGCTAGAAAAACACTTTAGCCATAGCTTTCTTGCCAGGGACTGCAGATACAGTGCGAGGAATAAGGTCTTCTCCAGGCCAGCGTGAGATTACTTTGCCCGTGGAGGACATCTGCCCGAGCCTAAACTAAACTCTTGTCTGAACTGGTTCGCTTTGTCCCCATGTCATGCTCACGTGGCTTTGTGGCTCTTGGAGCGAGCGCACCCCCAGCCCGCAGCCTGGGCAGAGCTTGCTGATGCCGGCGGGCGATGCTCCGTGTAGACATATACACCGTGACTCAGCATCGCCCCTGCTCAAGGTTAATATTCCTCTTGTTTCTGCATTTTCCTTCCCTCAAAGGGAAGCTGGAAGGCAGGGTTTAATCTTTTGAGATCACGCCCTGCCATGTGAATAAACAGTTGTATTCAGCGCTTCCCTTTAGGGTGTATTAGATAAATCCAGTTCGGCATCCCTTGACTCATCATGGGCAAACCATACCCCTCCCCAAAACCTAAGCAGATGCAATTCTTCATTCTTCAGTGAATAAAATCAAGTTCCAGGCATTTTTGTTTGTTTTAACCCTAATAGCGAAGTTCTCTAACTCTTCAAGGATTGCGAGTATCTGTCAGC